TCTCAGTTTCTGGACATCAGCATTGTGGCTCATGCAATTACTCCTTTCTTCTTTTTAGTTGGAGAGTTGTTCCAGTTGACTCGGCATTTAATCTCTTCAAATAGCACATTAACAAAGAACACCAGAGGAAAAGTCTGGGATGAATAGTTTTCACAATCTATGGAAAGTCATGTCAGACAAGTTGCTGTGTGGGCTCACCTCTCAGGTGGTATTTTCAGCTCTTTATTCAGCAGATCACAAAGCAATTTGGAGTAGACCTTGTTCTCCTGCTCCCCTATCTTGCCAATGCTGTAGAGAAAGCATATAGCACAAGGGTCTGTGGAGCCACCGAAGGACATCATCTGATCAGGAGAGATCTGTATTGCTAGATACTGTGGGAAGAAGAAAAGGAATATTATTTTCCTTTGCCATATTAAGAAAAGTTTAGAAAATCCAGGAAGGTATTTCTGTACCTGAACTGCAGTGAAAATAGGTGCATGCTTTTCATGTGTTGACTTCTTACTGTCTAGATTTGGATTCTACTCCAAGACAGTCACTGCTGTGTCAAGCTACAAAGACACCTTACTATTTAGGCTTGGGAGTCTTGATTCCTAGTCCAGGTGTTCCAGGAGCTCAATGACCTGCAATATCTCCAGAACCTCTTCCAAGCCACCAGGCCCTCCCTGCCCTGTGGGAAGGTCAGGGATGGGGGGGTGCAATTGCATTGCTGCCGCACTGCGTTCCAGAGAGATTTTGCACCTCACTGGCTCCTGCTGCAGTCTTCCCTGCTGAGGTAAATGTGAACTGACACAGCAGAGGTCTAAATCAACATCCCCCTCATTAAACAAAATACAGCCTAATCCTACTTTTGTTCTTGATATCAGGAAAAATAGAAGAAAGTATCTATGTTAATATTAATGACCAGCCTGCGATTTTCCCTGCTGCTAATACACAGTGTCAGATCCACACACTGGGGAATCTGGGGATCAATTCCTTTGGCATCCATCGAACTTCTGTCCTGTTCTTACCCACGTTTATTAGCAGCGCATCGTTGGAACTCAGCAGCAATTAACCCTCTTGGTAAAACAAGCCAGCCTGAGTACCAGGAGTTGTCTGGGTAATTAGTCTTGGCCATCATTTACAGCTTGTTTGGGTGCAAGGTGCATCAGACCACAGCAGTCCAGGACAAGCCAAGGAGATCATACTGAGGTACCACTTACTTGGCCTTGTTCTCCCCTGCCTGGACACTGTGCAGTCTCAACTTTATGCCAAATGTAGGTACATGTATGTCTTTAACATCTACCCTGGAAGCAGGTTATTATTATCTAAAAAAATAATAAAATCAAGCTAAAGCATTAATGGGCATTATTTTCTTCTTAGAGCAGTTTGAAAATATTTGAAACAGTTCATCCAGTAGGAAAAAACCTTATTTGATTAAAAATCAGTATGTTTTTCAAGTGGTACAGTTTCCTGTGAGAGGAAAGCTCTGCATTCCAGCCCAGCCTAATCCTTTCCTTCTTTCTGTGTTATAACTAAGAGACTCTCCCTTTCCTATTGCCTCCTTTGTCACGAAAAGCTTGTATGTCCTCTTCAGAAAAATCTCTTTGTTATTCCCTGTATATTTCTAAGTCCCGTTACATATCCTTTCCACACAGCTGCACAAACCTGTTCCAGCTGCATCCCAGCCCTGGCCTCTAGCTTTATATTCAGGAGCTGTTATGCAAGAACCACCAGCTGACACACCCCCATGCCCCCATCAGCAAGTTCTTGTTTGCTAGACTGATAAAAAACATTGGCTTTTTTTAAAAGATTGATAGAACACATCAGTTTTACATAAGAATACTAGTTTTTTGCTAGATGTCCAAGCAAGCTGAATGACTCATATTTTAATTCAACTGTAACCACCAGGCTACAGGCAATTTGGTGGCAGATAACAAGCACATACTCAGCAGGTCTCAGTGAGGAAGCTGAGGGTGACTTTCGCTTTCAGTCAGCCAGGTTCTTGAGGGGTATTCACAGAGATACCTGTGCACACACACCCACACACATCCCATGTCTTCACCTACACAGAGACCTATAGGGAATATCATCCAACACAAAGCTTGTTTAGATACTTCAGTGCTTTGAGACCTCAAGTTACAGCAAACAAGTATTTGATATTTTCACAGAGAGAGGACTGCAAATACTGGTGAGTCATTAGGCATATTAGTTTATCAAGGCTGTCACTGAGAAGTGGCTCGTTGCATAGGCACAACTGACTAAAGAAGGAAAACATTTGAGCATCTGGACTTACCTGTGCTGGTTTGTCCAATGCTTTTGATAACTGTTGGGTCAGCTCCCCTGTAAAAGATTCTGGAATCTTATCCTTGCTTATATTTGTGTTAACAATGAATTTAGGCATCTTTGGATCACAAGCAGGTTTTCTTTCACAGCTTTGTTTCTAACTCACCTGCAAGCTGGCTCCCCCCACTGTGCTGGTGAGCACCTCGGGAGCCTTTAAATAGTCAGTGATACTTTCCATAGGTGCACCGGGAGGGGTGGGAGTGCCTCGAGAGAGACAAGGCTGCATGTGCCACCTGCAGGCTGCTCACACAGACTGCCAGTGGGCTGTCCTGGGAGGGAACCTGGCTTTTGCACTCTGGAAACCACAGCATCCAAGGTGACACTTCATATTTGGACACAGCCTGACTGTGAAACCAGTGAAAAAACGAGTGTTACAGAGAGTTATAATGTACCTCTTTATGCAAGTCTTATAATTATTAAAAAAAAAAAAAAGATGGATGACTCAGTTGTGAGGTCTGGAACTCTTTCTGTGGAATAGACCATAACAGAAAATCCCCAGTAGCACATGTTGTGCAGACCTTTCCTGAACCATGACTAAGTCATGACAAAGATGCCTTAAAATCAGGATCTTGATTTTCCACTGTGGTGAGCACTGGTTTCTACACGCTTGGAGAAGGCTTGTTTTCAACTTGCTCCTTTGTTGTGCAAATAGTCCCATAGCAGTCATAACTCTTGAGAGATAGGAAATCCACAGGCATTCTGACATGAGAGGCTTTTATCCAGAGTGGAGTATGTGGCAGAGCTGGGATCAGTTCTTATTGCTGCTTAGTTGAGCCTTACATGAGAGAAGTGATTTAGAGGGATCATATGGCACTGGGCAGGGGGTGTTTGCAGTGAGATGTGTGGGGAGAGCAGGTTGAAAATGCTGATGGGAGTAAAATAAATGGTTTGTTAATCTCTCCATGTTAAAGGTGATGAGTGTCTTTATGCCCAGTAGTTTCTGAGGTAAGGCCTTTTCTACTCACTTGGTTCTCCAGGCTTTGGAAAAGAGGAAGAGCTTTCCATAGCTCAGACTAAATGTTTGTACTCTAACAATGTAATTTAAGCCAATACTTTTTAAATGGTGAAAGCCTCTGTAAGAACATGCTTAAGCTGATTTTGTTCAAGGTCAGACCTGGGCCCTGAGCAACTCAATCTAGTGGGTGACATCCCTGCCCATGGCTGAGGGGTTGGAATTGGATGATCTTTAAGGTCCCTTCCAGCCCAAGCCATTCTGTGATTCTATGGTTGTGTGGTGTATGTTGGTTTTAAGTCAGTTCCTTCACTGTAGCTCCCTTGCTGTAAAAAAGTCAGTAAATACAAATTCGGGAGATGAATTACTATGTGTCAGTGTTCACCTACAGCCCATGTCAGTGGATTGTGTCTCCTATATGCAAAGCATTCTGAAAATAATGAAGACCCTCAAAAAACACCAGAAGTAAAATCTGTTTCTACGAAGGGCCTTTTCAGAGCACGTTTCCTAAGTCAGTGCATTAAAAACAAACTCAAGTGACACCTGAATCTGTAAGGAGAAGAACTGTAGTTTTTAATACTGATTATTTTTTTCTTCAGCGGTTAGTGGAAAGCAGGTGGCATGACCCAAAGCTTTTAGTCATAAATCTTGTCACAAATATACTTGTTAGTGGTCACTTGGAAAAACTTAGGCTATTTCCAATGAAATTCACAGCCTATTTTTACTGCTGGGTACAATATCACTCCTTACTTGCAGCTTGCTTACATAACAAGGAAAACATTTCCAAAACAAACTCTTTCCTCTCTGAAAACATCTGATGTAATTCCCAGAAGCTGATGTACCAGGTTGGAAATCAGTTCCTTAGACACCGGAGATGCTCTTGGGAGTGTCCTTTACTTTACTTTATAGCAGCCATTTTTCTTCTTTTGCATACAATAATATGTCAGTTTGGTAGGTCCTTCTCCCTGCCTAGAGTTACTGGCATGTTCTCCACTGAGCTTTCCATTACACCTCCAGAAGGTTTGTTGCACAGTACAATTTCACTTTCAATATTTGTTTCTGTTGTCATGCTGGAACCTTTTTTCCTCATTTGCTGTGCCAAGTTTTTAGTCCATGTCTGCTCAGGTCACCCTAAATGCCACATCTAGCTTTTCCTCTGTCTGCCTGCTAGCCAAGTACTTCAGACTTCTGTGTTTCCCCATCCTCATGACATTTAGCCTTCTTAATCCTTCTTTCTCTCGGTTTGTCCTCTTAAATTATTTTACTTAGTCTTTCATATTTCTGATACTCTTCTCTGAGCTGTTTTCCAGCAGGTTCCTGGTTATGAGGTACTTCCTGCTAGTGAGGTCTCCTTTAGGAAAGGCCAATAACAGACTGCTCAGGTATCTGTGGCACTGGGCAGGACCCTGGGAACAGGGGACACCAGCTGAGGCCCAGGGCTGTGGGTCCAGGACTGTGAGCAGAGCCTATGTGTATGTTCTTCTTTGGGCCCTGTGGACTGTTAACAGAATGTTTTAAAAATTCTTAAGATGTACTACCATAAAAGGGTTTTTAATGTGAAAAAAACCTTTATGTCTTGAAACTGAGTGGGGAAATTTCCAGCGAAAACATTTAGATATCATCCAGAAATAGAACTCTGGCATGATGAGTTTCATAGCTATTAAAAAAAAAAAAAAAAAAGAAAAGAAAAGGAAAAGGGAAAAGAAAAAATAAATGAGACAGAAGATCTTGCAGTCTGGTTTTAATGTTTCCTTTTTAGTTCTATTGCAACATTGTTTCCTGTCTTTTCTAAGAGATGCAAATTTCTCCTCTGAACACTCAGAGCTTCGTGCAAGCCAACTGTTCCTTAGGAAAGTTATTTTCGGTGAAGGAGGTTTCTTTTTTCCCAAAGTTTAGTTTGTTGAACTCTGCTTTTATTTCCATGATTGACTTTCCCTTGGTCTCAGGAAGATATAGGTAAATGAAAATTGCTGATAAAGCAAGAATTGCCAAAAAGATGAGGAAGCAGAAGGGTCCAAGGTTATCCTGCAAGCAGAAATGAGACACTGTAAGGAAAACAAGAATCTCATTTCTGTTTCCCTGCCTTTTACTGCAAGCCCATGTCTTTGAAATTAAAATTCAAAAGTGTGCTCAGTACACAATCCAGGACAGGTATCAAACCAGGAGTTTCCACTGGCCATGTTTGACCTGAGTCCTGTTGCTGCTCCTCTGACAGGCTTGGAGAGTTCCTGAACAGGTTTGGTATTTGAACAGAGCTCTAAGCTTTGCATGTCATTGCAATTTATTGCTGTTATTTTGCTCCCTGTCAGCATTCAGAAATGGATTCTCCTGGAAGGAGGGATCCACTTAGAGTCACTTACAACAAGCAGTGGAAAAATCACCCCAAGTACGAACAGTCCCATCCAGTTGATACAGCCAATGATCAGAAAGGCTGATGGTCTGTATGACTGGCTGAAGATTTCAACCATGACAGCTACAGAGGCTCCAGCTGAAAAAGAAAAGCCAAACACAAACCAGGCATGTTCGTTTCCTTGCTCCTGCTGAAGTCACTCCCAATGGCAGTGGCAGATCACAGACAGGTAGAATAGGTGGCCTGTTGGTAGGTGGCCACTGCTATGAGGGTGAAAGACCTTGATTCCAGAAAGGGGCTGCAGCTGTTAATTTAGGTTTCTCTCATGTGTACTGGAATTGTTTTTCTGGTACCAGTGGGTCTGTGCAGTTCCACATTGCACTGGTAGCCATTAGTGGTGCAATGATTTATAAAACCAGCTCCCCTTTTGGCTCCTGCAGTCAGTTCCACCTGAAGCATTTTGGTAGGCATAAGGTTAACTTACTAGGTTAATGAAAATGATTACTATAACATATAGGCAAGATGAGTACTGTGACATACATTGCAATGCTTAGATTCCTGTTTTTAGCTGAGTATTTTAAAAATCATTCTGAAATTTCATTCTCAAACCCTCTGGAGATGATACTGCATTTTAAATTATTTAGATCTTGTGATCAGCAATAAAATCCAAGGTGTCTATATCCTTTCCCTGTTTCCCACTTGTACATGTTTGTCCTTCCTTCCTTGATTTCCAGAACTTTTTCACCATGGCACTAGTCTGTTCTTCCTTTGCCAATAGTGTTGCTGGTACAAAATTTCCTCCCAACACAGCCATTGCTGTACTCACATGGTCCACTTCCATAGAAGACAACGAACAGGAAGATCAAGATAATGCTGAAGTAATGCATCCAGAAAAAACGATGCTGAGGGGGAGAAATGGGTGATATCAAATGGTTAGACACGTGACAGAATGGCAGAGCTCTGTATTTTCTGCCACTGGCTCAGGTTTTTGTACATATCCTGTGAGGTAAGACTGGAAAGGTGGGCTGGTGCTGAGTAAGGGGCCAGAAGGCTGCTGCCTCCTTACCTGCAGGGACAGGGTCATGGTAAGCAGTGCTAGCACAGAACTCATCAGTGTGTATCCTGTCCAAAGCAGCACCTTCCTCCCAAACCGGTCTATGAGGCTGCTCTGAAAAGCAGAAAACACGGGTCATAAATCCCAGTTCTCAAATTAAATAATTCCTCCCCTCTCCACGTATTCTTTGCAGAAAACTTATATGAGTAATATCCATAAATCAATGTCATTTAAGTCTCTTAATTCCTAGTGAGTTAGATTAACTTTTTCAAATTAATTTATAATTAACAAAACTGTGTTTATTAGTCAACCTTAGGCTGGTTTTAGACAGTTCCCTTTCTTGCCTGCTGGCATATGTGCACACATGCATACCCACACCTAATCCAGAATATCAGAAAATTATTTTACAGAATAAAATTTAGTCTAAAGACATACACTCATGCAAGTAATCTGGAACAAGAACTGCCTTTTATCCTGCATGTGGTTCTGCAGAAGCAGGAAGATGTGTCTTAGGTTATGCAAATCTCCCCCAAGCCCAGTCATAGGAAAGGAAAAATACAATTGTTGACCACATTAAATTTTTCCTTCAAACTCAAGTCTGAAAAGACTTACACACAGTATAGAGGATAAGCATTCACACAACCCAATTCCCAGGGATGCATATGGGATAAGGTATTCTTCAAACTTGGCTGTGTGGAACACTTCAAAAGAGTAGAAGTATATCTGAAAAATGCAGAGAGGAAATGCACCTGTGAAAAAAGCATTGCATTGAGGTGCAATTCTAAGCTGGTATAATAACACTGACTTAGAGGGGTTTGTTATGCTGCCTAGTGTTGTCCCTTGTGCTGGGGATAAAGAGGGCACTCAACTGCATTGATTCCACTGAGCTGCAGGGTGGTCATAACAGTCATCATGAAGTAAAGCTGCCAGCGCAAAGATGGCTCTTTGATCACTTCGAGGACACGCAAGGTTTTCGTGCTCCCCATTGCACCCTTCTCCTTCATAATGTCATCGATTTCTGCTTGGTGGTCTCCTTCCCCCCAGAGCTTCCTGATGGCTGTTGGAGAGAAAGAGGGAGGTGGATTGTTCTACCTCTGCAGCTCCATCAGCAGTGGTTACATTAAACCCTTTAGTCTGCCTGTCCATTGGTGAGATGGTGGCGCTGCTTCTTCTGTGTGGTTGGGGCTGGGGCAGTGGGCACTCAGAAGGATTTTGACTCACTGGTTGTCAGTATAGTGTAGCTTTCTAACGTGGAGTTGACCTAATTGTAAACAAAGTCAACACTTAAGTACAGGTTATTGAATTTGAAAAAAGAGCTGCCTAAACCGTTTCCTTTAAAGAAGCAAAGCAGTGCCCACCAAAGTGGGAAATGCTAGACATGCTGATACATAACTATGTTTCTTGTCTTAATGAGACTGAGTGAGGCTCAGGTTAATAGAGACATATTGTCATAGGGACCTCATCTGTTGTGTTTGAAACTGCCTCTGCTCCGTGGCACTGCACTGTGCTGTACAGCTCTGCCCTGCTTGTCTTCTGCACGGGCTGTCACCCTAACACAGCAAAGGAAGTGAAGTAAGTGAGGAAAGCAGACACTCTACCTTTCCTGCAGGCTTCCTCATTACCCTTCTGTATCAGGAGGTAGGATGGTGAATCAGGGAAAAATGGGAGGGTAACCAGTTGAACCAATGCTGAAAGTCCACTAGATGCTAACAACCATGGCCACATAGCTTCGCTTCCTAAAATCTCCCTGGAAAGTGTATGTGAAACAAAAATGCTGAAATAATGGAATGAATGTTCAGGAAGTTTTTCTGAGTGATGAAGGTTGCTCAGATCCCATTCAAGAGTGCAGTGGAGCAAAACCCTGAATTCATAATTTGGCAAATTTCACAAATTTTGCTATTTTTATTCCTGACAATTTTATTTTAAAGGAATTATTTGATATTTTGAAAAACTTTCTAAATATCATTGGGACCCAGTATAATGTCTAGAGAGCTGATGAGACTCATTTGACCACTGTTTAGCCACAGGACCAAAACTTTTTTATGTAAGTACAGTAAATTTTGAAGGGGAAGTCCCCCAGTAGAAAAGGTGTGGAAATAAGAAGAAATCATATTATGTGTAATTAATTTTCTGCCTTCTTTATTCAAAATTAAATGTCTGCCTTAAAACTAAGGTGGATGTGACGGTCCTCCTAGGGAGGATGGGAGTGTTTCTCAGTCACTGACTAGGTGGAAGGTAAGGTTGTAGAAAGATTTGTACTTTTAGTGTAACCTGATCAAAAGATTGGAGAATTTACCGTAGTCCAACGACCTGTCCTGTGAGTTTTCCCAGGGTCAGAAAAACAGAAACGGTGGAGTTGGCAAATCCACGCAGCTTCTTGGGTGAAATCTCTCCTACATACTGAGGATGTATATACATAGAAAAACCTTGAACACAGAGGAGGATAAATGACTGTTAAAATATTTAGAAAAGCTTAACTTTCTGACTCCATCCTCTCTTACAGTTTCCATTCACTCTGATATTTAGATTACAATCTCTTGCAAAAGGGATGATGTCTTTCACTTTTATTAAGTGCCTAGTATAATTACTTTAAAAATCATTCTCCAAGAATGGCTGCAGAGACAATCCCAGAACAGCAGGGACTCTTGCAGTCCCCACTGGCACAAGCACATACCTGAACCAATGCCGTAGAGAAGGCGCCCGACCAGAATCATCTCAAAGGATTTGGCTGTTTTACTGAAGGCCATGAAAAGTGCAGCTGCCAGCATGATCAGGTTGGTGAATATTTGGCACTTTTTTCTGAAAACAAACAAACAAAACAAAACCCAAACAAAAAATCTCAAAAGGCCTTGAGAATTTAGTGTGAAATGTGAACCTTTTGTACTCTTTTGAACTACTCTTGCTTTGACAGGAAGCGTGGTAGAGCCATTCCTACTGTTTTGAGGAACGGATGAAATAATTTTGACTTTGGATAGTCAAAATGATTCTTTGAAATTTTAGGATCCTTTAGATTTGAATTAATTGATTATTTTTGAGCTCAGAATTGAAAGAGTTGGAATGCTTTGTCAGCATTTCCACAGTACAAATGGGGAAGAGATCGAAGAACTGGCCCATTTTATCAGCAAGATTTTTAAATGGCTATAACTCCTCTTAAAATGCCAGGTTGTCTCCCAAAAACAGTCTGAATCCACAGGTCCCATTCTAGAATGGCTCATATTAAAGATACTCTTGGCTAAATGGGTGTGATCTGAGATGACAGAAAGAGTTTTTAGAGGCGTATATCATTTCAAAACTGCCTCTGTATGAATTGTGGCCTGCTGTGTTCACAGCCCTGATGCTTCAGGCTCAAATCAAAGTTTCAAAGTCTTTTGCACTCAGATGTTTTGCTGTGATGCCTGTTAGACAAGAGTCCCCTTGCACACATTAAGGATTCACAGAGACCCTTGTGTTTAGTCTGGGATTCAGCAATTAGGTTATCATGGGTTAAATGACCCATGGGAGAAGTGCATGATCTTGTTTCCAGTCTCAGGAGACCCTGTGTGTGTGGGATGAGGCAGTGTCCCACAAGAAATCTCTTGGGGGCACTTACCTGATTGGAAAGAACACAATTGCAGGCAGGCTAAGATGGTTTGATGAGACCCATATGAGGGGCCTCTGGATCAATGTGTTGTGGAGCAGATCTTTAAGTGGTCACACCAAGTAGATATATTTGCCAATTGCTCTGCAAACGAAATCAGTGGTGTTACACACAAGGCACTGAGAACAGACCACACTGGTGAGGGATCCTTCCTCCATCTAGTGGGAAAGATAGCTTGGGAACTGACTTTCAGTACAATGGATTCCCAAGAACAGAGATGCCTCTTGGACGTTTGTTTTGGTGCTGGTTGTATCTTTACAGTGTACTTACAGGCAATTTATTTTTTCTCTTTTGTTCATATTTTCATTAGGCTGGATCTGAATATTTAATATAATGTCTGTACCCCAAAATGAGTGTATTTAAACGGAAATCTAGTTCTTCTTTGTCACTTAAGGATATCTTCCAGGTGTTTGAGTAACTGCATATAATGTGTTACAACACAAGACACACAGCTCTTTCACTGGGGTTTGTAAAGCTTGGGAGACCTTTATGAGAGCCATAGGGGACATTGAAGAGAATGTGACCCTATGCCACTACTCCCAGAGGCACTGATCTGGTGATGTGATGATGACTGCAGCCTTTACAGAGTACAATTCCCTGGGGAGGGCAGATAAACAAGGCAGAAGGCTGTTTGCTACCTGGAAGAGGTGGATGTGCTGGGAAACCCAACCCGTTGTGTGTGACCAGACTGCTTCAACCAAAAAGAGCTTCATTTGTTCACCTTGGTATTTCCCTGCGCTCTCTGACTGTGGAACTGCTACAAGAAGCACTCACTTCCTGTATTTTGTAGTCACGTAGGTACAGAAGAGGGACCCCAGGAGCCCTCCTATCCCATAAACAGACACGATGAAGGACCACAGCAGCATGATTGTCTCGGGATGGAGGGGGGAGCCGTGTCGCTCGATCCACGTTTCGTTAATAAACTTCCTGATGTGCTGAAAAATAGAATGAGATTTGACCGGATAAGGGGTGTAAGATCCCTTCATATTATTTGGATGTTGTATTTCAGATGGAGCCTGTGGTTCTGATATTAGATTTATTTTGAGTCTTTCTTAGTAAAACAAGTTCACTGAGATCACACTGCAAAATCTACAAGTTTATATCACTCAGAGAGCTTCCTGGCAAGCATGCTAAGAGCACATTTGTTATCCTTCTATGGGGACTTGTATACTATGTGGTAAAAACTTATTTAAAACAGAGAATGCTGTCCTGTTCTTTAAAGGAGAAAAAGTTCTCTGCACATGTCATGTTACTGTTAGCCAAAGAAAAGGCACAGACTGTGAATGGTCAGTAAATCTGAGATTTATGGGAGAACTCCATTTGTGTTATCAGCCTCAGGGAGATGGCTCCTTACCACAGAAGGATAGTTGATTACAGAAATGTGGAATCCATATGGGAAGCTACCACCAATTCCCAGCACTAAGATCATTTGATACAGTCCCCGGAACTGAACCTGCAAAGCAAACATAAAATGCTCCATCAGCTTCTCATTAGTCTAGATCTATGCAGGGCCAAAGCCACACTGGTCCTTCTTCTTTGTCTACTTCAAATCCTCTTGAATATAAACATTTTTCAATATCCCTCTAATCTACTCCTGAAACACTCTCATCATCCACAGTGCCGTAGCAAACTACCTGCCACTGTAAGGGTGATAATCCATCACTCTGCTTGCAAGAAGAAAAAGGAGTTTTAAGAGATGTTCCCAAGGGTGCAGCTCTCACTCTATGCCCACAATATCTGACAGGTTGGCTGAATAAAGGTGTCAGTCCTGGATGCAGGGAAGAGAGAATCAGTTCCCTTGTCTGCAGTCGACAATAACTGATGTGCACCAAACCATAATGCTGTGTCTCAGAAGTACAGCATTAAAAATCAACAACATATTATTATACTCTCTGCTCTAGTTTCTGACTGCATTGTATCTTTAAGCATAATTGAGAAAATACCCTTTTGACATTCAGCTTTTTCAGGAAGGCATGGACTATAATTACCCAATATAAATATAACATAAATATAGTTATAATTATGGGAATAGCCCCTGTAATTACATTCAAATAAAAATCTTCCTGAATTTGATTTGGGATTTCATTTCTCCTTTCTCAATATTTTATTTTTTCTATTTATTTAACCATGAAATGGTGTGCTTGCATATTGAAGGGCTTGGCATCTTCCAAGTTAGTGAGATACTGTCTGCCTAGAACTTCCTTGCTCAAGGATTAGGGACTGAAATACACTTTCTGATGAATGAAATAATTTTAACTGTAAATAAGGAGAAAACATAACAGTAACTACTTAGACCTTAAGTCCATCTTTCAACAGATTGTTATTTAATTGGGCCACATCTGGATTTCTGGAATTATCACATGACAAGAACCAGGAAGCTGTGGATCAGAAAGAAGACTCTAAATTTCCTTAAAAATCCTCTCTCAAATTCAATGGATTTGCTAATTGGCAAGACCATTCAAACAAATTAAGAACTCACCCTCTCACTCTTCCTTTTTTTTTTTTAAGAGAAACAAAGCAACAATACACATCACTTCTTCCCTGTGTAAGACCGTGGAAACTCTCAGTGGATTATATTGATGGTCTCTTGATGAAATGAAGAAAGTAATTTATTTTAAACCTTATGTCATGGTTTCTCAGCCTTTCGCAGCAAGGTTAAAATATTCATTATTTTGGGAAGTAATCAGAGTGGTTAACAATTAGTATTGTTTCAGTAATTCAGAAGACAGAAGTAAAGTAGCATTGTCAATGGTGGAACTGCCAGAGCTGTTTTTATTTTTATTTTATTTCATTTCATTCATTCATTTCATTTCATGTTGTTGCATAGAAAAGACCATGCAGCACAATCTTCATGGCCCCATTGTTCTTGGTGATGTTTAAACACAGAGAGGAAAGCCAGTCTCTGTACCAAAGGGACTTAAAATCCTTAAAGAATCTGAATCTTCTGTATTTTGTTAGCTTTGTCTTTTCTAAGCCATAGCCCTGAGAAGAAGTGAGCAGATACTCACCAGGTTGGAGAAGAAGGCAGCCATCTCGAGGAGAGAGCCTCTTGCTCCCCGGCAGGTACCTGCCAAAGGAGCCAAGGGCTCACGTTATACAACAGCAGCATCAGGGAACTGGTCCCATGTCACTGAAGTTAAATTTTACTTCGGAGGCTTTTGAGTTGATTACGCCCATTTCAGCGGTGGTACAAAGTTTAGGATTGTTGGATTAAATATTTCAACCAATGGTTATGTCCAAATAACCAAGTTGGTCTCCCTTGCAGGGAACCTGTTCACTTCATGAGCACTGTCTTGTGCTGGGGAGATAGAGAGCTGAGACAACAATTTTAAACAGGTTTACCATAATCGTGACTTTGCTCAGTTTTCAGGACAAACTGAGAAACGCAGAGACAAAATGATCTGTTGGGAGTCTTCGATGGGGCTTGGACAATGAACTATAGGACTTTGACATATAACAGGAAAGATCTATCCTGTCTTCACGTGACAGTAACTGGAGCACATCGTAACTTAATCATTACTGAAAGGAACTGAACTGCTCCACGATTTTGAAATGTGGTGCAATCTTAGTGATTCCACAGTGGCACACCAGGCTTGGTGAGCTCAGTATTTAATAGTAGCTGGTTTTCCTTTGCTAGTAGAGAAAAAAATTCATTATGCACATTTTTGTCTGGCATTTCCATTAGTCAGTATACTTATTTCTGTGCCTGTGATGAAAAAAAGGTTGTTTTGGAACTGTTTTGTAACCTCCACAGCTGGATTGATGTCTCTGTTTTTCTGAGAGAAGATTCGAAGGCTTTAACTTCATTTATTTCACAATTAGGAGGGGTTTGTATTTATTGAGTTGGTAAATGGCTTGTTATCACTTGCCATTTACACTTCAGTTAAAGAATAGGAGGAAGAAATCATAGAGGGCTTATTGGATGCAAGCAGTCATATTTACTGGAAAATATATCACATGCAAAGCATATTCACAGATTCTCCAGCTAATGGCTGAAATGCAGCGTGTGGCAGCACCTGACCTCCCATCACTGCACAGCCTCGTCGTGGTCTTGACTTTGCTCTTGATGTGTGCTGAGAGTTCATGGGGGGATTTGTTTCCAGTTTAGGTTCTCCAGCAGATAATCTGTTGTTAGAGCACAAACAAGACTGTCCCTTTGATGCTAAGAATTAATTTCCTTTTCTGTAAAGTTATACAAAGTTGAAATAACATGGTGTGCATCTGATAGAGGGAAGAAATGCCATGTTGGCTGCTGGTATCTGTCTTGCTCAGATGATATTGGGGGAAGCCACAAGCAGGCAATAACACGTAGCTTTTGGCATGGGACATTCAAATGCAGTCTATTGAACATATTTTCTTATGTTGTACCTCACCCTCTTCTACATGTATTTACACACATTGTAACTTACACTCTTTGCTCTTGGACATTAATTTAGGATTCCTGCTTTGAGTAGGTTAAGAGTCTTCCTCTCATGACTCCCATAATGTGTGATGTCTTTTGCGTTTATGGTGATTAGTGACTGTACTGCTTCTGTGCTGTTGTTGCTTACACTGTGCTGAGGCCCCCTCAGTAGATGTGCAGTTTCTTTATTAGTGCTAACAAAGTAATTGGCAGGTATCTTAGAGGTATCCTTTAGTGATATTTGTGCTCAGGACAGTAAATCTCACAACATCAGGCCATTTAGTCATTGATCTTGCAATTTTACAGACACACAAATGCAAAGCTGTGCTAAGCCTTCCTTCATACAGGCCAGCAAGACCAGATCCACGTTTTTTGTGTCCATCTGACAGCAGTTCACTGATCCAGTTTTCAAGTGTTTACATGTGCCTCAGTTAGTATTTGAGACATATCTTACCCATCAGCTGGTATGCCTGGAAGAAAATGTAGTACATGTTCCTGAAGCTTCTGGATGACTATCCTCTTTGTCCCTGTCACCTCACACGTATATTTGAACCAGACATTTTTGCTGTTTCATCCCTTGACCAGAGTGTTCCCACAATACAGCTCTTGCTCCACTGAGCACAGGCTAAGGTTGACCTGTGCTCCAAAGAGCTGTTCCGCTTCGTTGTCACATTAATGTTCCAGAGGGCACCCACTCACTTCCTGCCGAGGATCTTATGGGGAAGAGCTTTCCCAATCACACCTAATGAATAACTGGGATCAGAGAAGGGGCTCACTAGTGAGCCACTCTGCTCTCGTTTCCAAAGGCTTCAGGGATTGTTGGAATGGAATGAAGGATGTTTCCGGAGTGACTGATTGGGAAAAGAGAATCTGTTTTGCAAAACGTTGAGCTTCCCTTTCTATATTGGTAGCTGTCTCCAAAAGACTGGTAGTTTTTGATCATATTATGTGTATATGGAACACTACAAAATTACTGAGTTTTCTGACTCTAAGGACACTCCACGTTTTGTAGATATATAGTTATAGTTATGTAGTTATATTTTAGTCAGTAGTCTTAAGTGTCCCTCAATAATAAAGATAGTAATAATGAAAATCCCCAATCATGGAAGAGTATGCATGCCAATATCTTTTTCTAGTCAGCTGTTCCTGAAGGAGGTCATGACGTGAAGAAAAAAATATTAGTGGAGGCCAGAAGTTTTATTACAAGGCAATCTGCCATTTTTATTATGTTTTTATGTTTAACATTTGCAATTAAAAATAAGCAGCAGTTAAGATGAAAAGTTGAATTCTCATTTTGAATAACCCTATTTGAGCTGAAGTAAATATGACAGTCAAAGCAGGAGCAGAGGTAAACCCATTTATTTTACTGTGCAAGTCTAGAGTTTGAACTTCAAATTATATAGAGTGCTCCACTGTAAGCCTTAGCTTTGTCCATGTTCCTCCTGAACATGAAAGTATTGCTTTGCTACTAGGACCATGTGAGCCTCTCATTAATAGAGAGAAACATGCAGAATATTAGGCACTTTCAAAAGAAAATAAAAATCCCATGAATCTGCATATTTCAAAAAAAGTTTTCTGGTGAAATCAGTTCCATGCTGAGGTGGTTCTTCTGGGCTAAATTTGGTCCATGTAGCCAAAAGTCACACAAGGAAAGCAGCAGCTCAGTTGCTGTGGGATCCACAGCCCACGAGGGATCTGTGGGAACTCTGGTCCTGGAAGAGGAGCTGCAGACTGGAGATGACAAAAATGATGGACAGGACAGCACAGAGTATCTAAAATGACTGTAGGTGCTTGGGTTTATGGTGCCTGGATTCCACCCTTCAGTCCTTTAATTCTGTTGGTGCTGAATGGTCGAAGTCTGTCAAACTAGATACTACACAAGGACAATATGGCACTGTGCATGGGAACCTGGCAAGGTTTGGTTATGCAGTTCAGTCTAGAGAAACAAAGAATTTATCTCCTATTCCACTAAATTTTTTCTTTAATCTGTTATGGATTGAACCCCAGCCAGAGACAGCAAGCCAAGAACTTCACTGTTCTCATTTCAGGGCTGTAAAAACATACTCAGAAATCATAGAGAGAGAGGGAATTACAGGTCTTTCCTTTCTCTGTGGTCAGCAGAGTGTTTATAAATTCTACATGTAGTTTCAGTGTGTATTAGTTGCTCTGTTAAGATTTGCACATCAGCAAGTTAAGCCAAAATGCTCATGATTCACATGAGTCTATGCTGTAATATCAGCCCTCATCCCTTTTCAGAGCTGCCCAGAGTGGAGTGCTTGAGAAAGGAGCTGGTTTGGCAAAATGGGAACCTTGTAAATGACCAATAGGAAAGCTGACAATCCATTTGGATCGACTTACTAGTCAGAAAATGACAAATGTCTTTTTTTCCCTTCTTTTTAAGAAAGCCTGATTCCCCCCTATGTCTGGTCAAAGCCTGGTGCAGAAGGTGTAATCCTCTGTGACATGATTTGGAGCTGTTGGAACATGCTTATTTTTAAAGTTTAGCTTATTGAATTCTTCTGTGATTTCTATGATTGATTTCCCTTTTGTTTCTGGAAGGAACAGGTGGACAATCATCCCTGAAGTGAAAAGTACCCCCATAAAGATGAGGAAGCAGAAGTGTTTGAGTCTTTCCTGCAGGGAAAGAGCAGAGGGAGAAAGTGAGCAAGATGAGCGTATTTTTTCTTTAGTCACCTTCTTGGCACAGTTTTTGTATTTGGGTCCCAAAGTACTTTGAATTTGATAAGGAATTCTTTTAATTTTGACCTTTGAAAAATATTTCAGTCTGAATAAGTATCTTGGGCAAATCAGGGCCCTTCAGTTGCCAAAGTGACTTGGGAGGGCAGGTGCCAAGACTGCTCCAGGCTGACATGGCACTGTCATGTCCTGCTGCTCATCTTCCCACCCTCGTGGCCGACTGAAACTTGGTGCCCTTGGGAGCCTCCCTGGCAAAGCCACTCACCACAATGAAGGGGAAGGTTGTCCCGACCACGAACACTCCCAGCCAGTTGAGAACTGAGCCGATCACAAAGGCAGGTGGTCTGCAGGACAGCGTGAAGATTTCAGCCCTGGTGGAAACTGTGGCACCACCTGAAGGGAGAGAAGAATCAGAATTATTGCTTGTTGATGTGTTTGGTTTCAACATTTGGATAGAGTGGTACTGTCACAGTCAGCACATAGATGCTGCTGTCACGGACTGGCATTCAGAACACTTGAGTATGTAGCTCTTTTTTACAAATGAAAATGTTGGTGGCATTTTATAAACCACTAGACAGACATCAGTTTATTAAAGTGGTAAAATATTCAAATAGATTTTTGGGGAGGTCCAAGAATTAAGTAGTTTACACTTGAGAAAGCCTGAAATTTTCTCATGAAAGAAGTTGTGTCAGAATGAAATGACAATTATTATTGCTCACAAGAATTGCCTGCATGATTCTGCTGGATCACCAATGAGTGATCTTCCCAGCTTCCCTTTCTGGGTATTTCAGTTATGTTTTGAAGTCACAGGCTTTCAACAGTTTTGAGTAAGGAAAATAATTCAACCCTGACATATGGGGAGGCAAATATTTTAAAAATTAATAGCCTTTAAAAAATAAAATTTAAAAAGTAGCAGACAATAATTGCTAGGAAAAGAATTAGTCCAAAGTAGGTCTTCTGCACTGCTGTCTATGTGGGATAAGATGTAACATTATACAACACTGAATTAAAAGAAACTCTTGCTTTTCTTTTTCTCTTTCTTTTTCCTAGCATTTTTTAAAATCTTTTACCCATCTGTTTTTGCTCTATTTTTGCTGTATTTTTTCAGTGTATTCCTTTCCCCTTGTTAACAAAACCCAAACCTGATGGCGCTGAAGTTTATGGCCAGTGATTGGCCCCATTATATTTAAATCACTACAAGATTTTGTTAAATGAATTTACTTGTGCAATATAATGCAGTATTTTCCTAGCCATATTAATAAGCCCACATGACTTGATCTCTTTATTTCCTTTGACTGAGCACCTACCTGGCCCAACTGCAAAAACAACTGCAAACAGGATAATGAGGCACAGGCTGCAGTATGGCATCCAGAAATACCAGTCCTGGGGGAAAAAACCAATAACAAACTTCTGGGTGAAAACTGTTAACTGTAGGAGAGAAATGCTCCTTTTCCAACACTGTCACCTCAAGAAGGAAATATTCAGTGTGTGGGAACTGACAGAGAGATGTGAGTGCTTTTCCTGGGGATGGAGCAGTGAGGTGTTTGTTAGATGAGCAGAGAAGCAGGTTTGCTTGGAAGGTTTCTGTTAAAGGAAGTCCAGATAGTACTATTGCATCCTATCCTCCTTTCTTCTTGACCTCATGGTGCTTCCTCCAATCCTTAGAGATATGGGAAGGCCAAATCATATTTTTCTTCACTTTTGTAAAGATATAGATTTGATAACTGGTACTGAAAAGGAGCTTTCCTAGATCTTAGTCAAGCAGAAAAGAGACTCGATGCTTTAGGAAAAAAGATTCTCTCTGCTGTGTTTGAGACCATGAATAAAACAAAAATGGAAGTCTGCTGCCACCTTGCTTCAAGGCTAATTTTACAGTGTATCTATAGAGTGGCTCTGGATGAGTACTGGTAACCCAGGTGATTTGCTTCTGAAGAAGACACAGCAAGGACA